AAAATCTGACTGCAACTGAATTTCAAAGGTTGTTAGGTCAGTGTTAGCATTTCAGGGAAATATCCTCAGGACTTTCACTTTCCTTGCTCAGAAGCCAGATTGCCATATAAAGGACCTTTCTTGAGAAAGAAAAGACTCCATTCCTATCCCTATGCCCACTCCCATTCAAGCTGCACACATTCTCTCCCCCTCTCCAACCTCTGTCATTTCTTGCCAGTAGTTTTCATTTTAAAGTGAGAAATAGAAGAAGCCTCAGAAGGAGGAACAATTTGGAAATCTTCTGTCTTGTTCTATAATCCTGAGAATATAAAATGCAATGTCTGGGATAAATGAGACCCCTTATGGGAGCATCCTCTGGCACAATTCTATTTAATACTATGGAAAATGTGCTATATAGTGCTATCCATCTACTCTAGCAAATTTTATCTCACTGCACTAGACACTCCTAAAATACATATTATTTCTACTTAAATGATTCCACCAATAATGTCCTATCCAGCAACAAGTTATTCCACCTTTTTGACTCAGTTACATTTATAATTTTTCTGATGGTTTATATAGACTAAGAACTATCACATGAATATGTTGAATTTTGACTAAGCATACTAAGTTCTAGCTATGAGAACTCAATAAAGCACAGAAATTCTTCTGATACATGAGAAATTCAACTCACATCCTGTCTACTACCACTCACCACCTTTCTGACTTCAGCAAGTTATACAACTTATGACTCAGTTTTATTTTCAGTAAAAAATAGCTTATAGGGACACTAATAATAAAGGGAATAACTAATGTTTAGCAATCAAGAAGTGTTATCTACTTAATTTTTGAGGGCCTAATACTCAACTAGTAGATGAGTTAGATGTTATCTACTAATATCAACTAGAATCACAGACATAGGGAATTTTGGACCTTGTTTTGAAGACAAGACATGCATCTAATGGAAAATATTATTACATTCATTATATTATTATGTTATTATTATTATTATTATTCATTATACAGGGAAAACAATTAGATGAAGAGGTATTATTAGAGTCATCATTCATCTTCTGGCTTATTAGACAAACAGTTCCTAAAATTGTCACATAGATGTTAATAACTAGAAATTTAATAAATTTTCACAGGGATGCCAATAATTAGGAATTTAATAATGTTGAATTAGAAATAAAGATATCTCTTTAAAGACATGTAACTAATGAAAAAGTATTCTAAATTTAAGTATAACAGTTATTTAATGAGTCTATCATGAAATGAATAATACTAGGCACAATATAGGCATCATACATGTTTTGTTTCATTTTTTAAGTTACCAGTAAAAGTTTATTAATTTTGTTTTTATTGACTTGTTTATTATGGAAGAATCCGCTTCCAGATAGTCATCTCCATTGATAGTTTTAAAAGCTAAGATTTATTGAGCACTTACTATGTGGTATTACTCTAAGTATTTGTACATGTATTATTAAATCACTGATTCTGACAATAACACTAAGATGTAGGACTTGTTATTATCCCAATGCTATAAGTAAGAAAACTTAGAGTCACCTAAATAACTTTCCCTATGTGTGAAAGGTATTAAGTGCTACAGCTGGGATCAAAACCCAGAAATTTGGGCTCCAGAACCCATATCCTTAACTTCTGTTATTTTGCTTCCCATAGAGGAACTACAGCACATATCTGACTGGAGTGGCCAATGATCTTTGATATCATAGTGAAGGTCTAAAAATATCTCAGTGTCAACACGTTTAAGAATGAGTTTCTAACCTTCCTCCCATAACCACCTTCATCTGCAGTCTTCCCCAGCATGATTGATGAAAACATTATCCAATCAGCTGCTCAAGCAAAACACACAAAAAAAACCAAAAACCAACATTTTAAAATTATCTGTGGAAGATACAGAAATATGCTAACCACGTCCTCCTTCCAAGTAGAAATTGCTGTCCAGCTGTGGGCTAACTCCCCACCCCAATAATTCGTACCCTTTGCGGGGCAGGGTGACCCACATCTAGTGACTGAAAGAGGCATAAAGTCCTGGCCATTGCCACCTAACAAGGTACACTCTGAAAGGCAATGTTCTCTCCAGAACTTGCTGTTGATTGACCCAGGCTTTGTGGTTCTGACTCTAAGACAAACTTCTTTCCTTTCCCCTCCTGCTCCTTCCCATTTCCCTTCCCAAATGTTAATCCAAATAACAGCTTAGATCTCGAACTCCATTCTGTCTGTGATATTGGAGGAACCAGCGTACAACAGAGGCTGTGACTTTCCCCTTTTCTCAGATCCCACATCCATTCTGTCAAGATCCATTTGCCTCTACTTACAAAATTTAGCCCCAATATCCACTGACACCACCTTGTTCCATCTAACATGTGAGGTGGATTGAAGGGTTGCATGTACAGTATAAGGATGAGACCTGGGCTACCATGTAAAAGCCTCCTACCTGGTTTTGTATGTTCCCCACCTCATTCCTCTTCTTCAGTCTATACTCAATGTAAAACCAACATAGTTCTTTTAAAACAGAAGAATCAATGTATTAAAACCTTACAATGAATCCCATCAACATCAGAGAAGAACCTACACAACTCTCTATAACCTTGTCCCATTGGCTCTCTACACTCAGCCCCTGTAGGGAACAGGGAAAGGGGACGTTACTAGAACCTCTGCTGTAAATCCTAGTCTCCTGTGAGCCACGGCAGCACAAGGCAAATTACAGGAAAAGTAGAAAAATGAGACTTTGAGAAGAAGCTAACCTTTGGGTCTGATCAGTGCTGCTCTGGGCAGCGAAAAGAAAGCCCCCAGCTTACTGCACCTTTTATTCAGTACATCGGGAGAAACAAATGTAACAAACAACTTGCAGAGAGTTCAGTACATTGGCGTAAACAAGATGTAACAATCCATGAACAATGAGGAACTGAGTAGATGAAGATTTTGTTCCTCCCAGGATGTCTTCAGCTGGTGTAATCTTGTCCTGGATCATCACAGCATCACCCAATCATTGAGGTCTCAGTTGCGACTGGAGGCCAAAATGGAATTATGTCTTGGAATGCCATAGCTGGGCCGTAGGCAGGAGAACTAGGGTAACCAAAATGATTTTTCCCTAAAATTATGTAGCATTGCTCCCGACAAGCCCCTATGCCTGTCCCCTGACAGCTGTTGATCTTTGACAAAGGGGCAAAAATCATACACTGGAGGAAAGATAGCCTCTTTAATAAGTGGTGCTATGAAAATTAAATATCCACATACAGATGTCTAAGTCTAGACCCATATATCTCACCATGTACTAAATTAAAATCAAAGTAGTTCAAAGATCTAAATGTTAAAACAAAAACACTTATCTGCTGGAAGATAAAATAGGTAAAATTCTTGAAGACATAGGGCTTTCTGAATAGAACCCTGGTTGTACAAGAAATAATACCAAGAATCAACAAAGGGGGTCATATCAAATTAAAGAGCTTCTGCACAGCAAAGGAAACAACCAACAGGGTGAAGAGACCACCTATAAAATGGGGAAAAAAATTGCCAGCTATTCCTCAGACAGGACTAAATCAAGAATATATAGGGCCAAGAATTTAGCTCAGTGGTGCCACTCCCTGCCTCACAAGAGCAAGGTCCCAAGTTCGATCCCCAGTACAAAAAAAAAAAAAGAATATATAAAGAACTAAAAAAAATAGACTCCCCCAAATAAAAGACCCAATCTAAAATGGGTAACTGAAATGAATAAATACTTCTCAGAAAAAGTACAAATGGCCACTAAATACATTAGATAAATGAAAAATTAAAACTTCAGTAAAATATCATCTTACACCAGAAAGAATGGCTATCATCAAAAATTTTAATAATAACAAATGCTGGCTTGCATATGGGGGAAAAGGGAATTCTTCTGCATTTTTTGTGGGAATGTAAACTAATACAACCACTATGGAAGTCAGAATAGAGATTCCTCAAAAAACAAAAAATAGAAATTCTTTTTGACTGAGCTATCTTCCTTCTAGGTGTCTTTCCAAAAGAATTAAAGTGACCACATAGCAAGTATAAGTGCATACACATGTTCATAGCAGCACAATTTATCTTGTGAATAACATATATGTCCATCAACAGATGAATGGATAAGGAAAATGTGTTATTTATACACAACTGGAGTACTAATCTGCCATCAAGAAAGTCGAATTTTTAGGTAAATGATTGCAACTTGAGGACATAATGTTAAGTGAAATAAGTCAAACATACAAGATTAAATATCGCATGGTTTCTCTTATACCAGAAACTAAAAAAAATACATATATATTCAAAGAAAGAGCAAAATAGAAAATAGATAAATTGGAAATATGGAGAAGTTCAAATAATTCCACAAATCACCTATTCCATTGTTTCAAAGATAATTTAATAGATATGCTAATTTGTTTCATTTATAATTCTAATTCCTTGCAATTCAAATGAAAGTGTTGTGATGTCACCTGTTTGTTTCTGGTCTGTCTTATTTTGGTCTGTCTCGTACTCTGAGTAACTACTTTGAAGATAATGATACATAGTATATTAATTATTGTTACTCTGATATTATTTTGTTATGAAATTTTGTTTTATTTTTTCACAACATAAAAAATTTAAGAAAAGCATGCTTTTGTGAAGGGCAGTGATCAGATATATTCCAAGTACATACAACAGTGCCAATCATACATATTTGTAGATTGTATACATCCTATATTTCACAAATTGATCCATGTAAAATAAAGTTATTTCAATTTAATGAACAATTTCATTTCAAATCCATTGACTTCCTTGGTAGAGGTGCACAGCAATTAGAAGTCTATTGATAAAATATTTTCCTGGTAATTCATTGGAAGACACAATAAGGTTATAAAGACTGAGGAGATAACTGAATTTTTCATTATTACTCTAAATTTCAACACATGGATCTAGAAGCCTACTTCTGTTTTGCTTTTGGTTTTTGTTTTTGTTTTTTGCTTTGAGACATCAAATCACATTTTGGCTGTCCCTCAACTTACCTCCAGCTCATCAAGTGCACTTCCCAGAGTGGCTGCCTGAGGTTCTGATGGGGTTGGCATATTCTGAATGCCTTGGGAAGCATTTGAAATCACATTGAGGGCATTCTGAATTTCTTCACAAACTGTGTCCTTGCTGGCTTTGAGGGAAGCAACATCAGAATGCTCCAAACAAGCCGAACAAATTGAATGCAAGAGAGGAGAGTTCTCCTTCAGTGCGGCCCGGGCCCCTGCAATTTCATCCCTCTGGTTTGGAGATTTTAAGTCCTGAGAAGAAAAATAAAGAGTAGTTTATTTTCATGGATTATGTGAAAAGCTTAGTCACAAAAGCTCTATTTTTCTGTCAATATAAATGAAAATAGGCACTGAAAAATCAGTTATAAGTCAATCAATGGCACCAATTAATTTTATATTCCTTCAAATTCTGGAGTTCTATACTGGGAAAGAACACTTCACAAGTAAAGGTCACAAAAGTACAGACGTATAAAATCTGAGTAGATCTTAACATCTGTAATTCATATCTTTGTAGTCATTAAAGAACTCTGACATTGACATTATTAAGTACATTAACAAGAGAGCTTGAATTACAAGGATACTGATTATTTTTTCCACAGATTTTTGATAATTGTATTTAAATTTTTATTAAAACAAACCAAGTAAGTTAAAAACATTAAACTTCTCACTACTCAGCTAGTTTTCTAAATACTAATAAATTAATTCTGGATCTTTCTTTCTTTGATATTTCTTCAACAAACACTGAGAAAGCACTTAGTATTACTAACTTTTTTGCTGGGCTCTCAGTGTTCAGATGTGAACAATCCCACAAGGACCTTGTTCTCCCAAAGCTTATGTTCTTGTTTGGGGGAAGGGCATATACAGATAAACTCTACAACAACTGAAGACAATTTAATTATAATGCTATGTAATTATAAATGCTATGAAGAAGGTATAAAAGTGAAATGTCATAGAGATTGACCTGAAAGGAAAAAATTACCTTAATTTAGGTCAGCAAGGACATTTCTGTGGAGATGACAATTTAAAGTAAAAATCTAAATGAAGGACATTACAAACAGAAGAGAAAAGAAAGTCCTATCTAAGTGATAGATAATAAAAAATAGCTTAAAACATAGTGAAAAAATCTTCCAAGCATTAAATTCACCAAATGATGAAGATTAGCTTGCCAGTGACATCACCTGTACACATCACATCCAGATCATACACCCCTTGATATAATGTGGCAAAGAATAGCATGTCACTACCCAATCATGAAAACACAACAAATTCAACCAGATTGGGAGACATCCTGCATGATGCTTGTACACTATTCCTTCAAACCATTAAGTTATGGAAAACAAGGAGAATGTTATACTGTCTCAGGTTACAGAACACTCGGGAGATATAACAAATAAATAAAATGTGGTACTCTAGATTGGATCTTAGAACAAGAAGATCAGTAAAATTCAAATAAAGCTTATTAGTAGTTGATAGTAATGCATTCATATTTATTTCTTTGTTGTGGCAAATGTTAACATATTAATAATAGAGAAAGCTGAGAGAAAGGTAAATGGGAATTCTATTGTCTATGTAACTATTTTTGTAAATCTAAAAATTCCTAAAAATGTTATTCAAAAACCCTAATTTAGGGAACATTCACAACAATTTATGTACTTCATATACAATAGCTTAAATCATCTTCATAAAAACTGAGGATAAATGTAATTATTATCCCATTTTTAAAATGAGGAAACTGAGGTGTCAAGAGACTAAGTTCTGTAACCAAGACACAGAGATAGATTTTTTAGAGAGAGAGAGAGAGAGAGATTGAGGGTCTTGCTTTGTAGTTCAGGCTGGCCTTGAACTTGTTATGTAGCCCAGGCTGACCTTAAACTCCTGGCAATCTTCTTGCCTCAGCCTCCTGAATGCTGGGATTACAGGCATGCGCCACCACACCTGGCAGAATTTCTTTATTGCAACCCATGAGTATAACTGCGAAGACCTGATTAAAACAACAGTGTTATACCCTTTCCTAAATTGAAAGAATTTCCCTTATTTGCTATAGAAGAATGAAGCCTTGATTTATATATGATGTAGCATATAAAGTACTTCTGTATAACATCATCACAACAACCCTTGAAGGAGTTAGGCTTGTATAATTAATCTTATTTTAACTAGGTTACCTATTTACTCTAAAGAGATTAAGAGACAAAAATAGACTGATATCTAAATCTAAGTCTTCAGATTGTAACCCTGTACTTTTTTTCACAAGACTGCTACCTCTGTTGCCTGAGGTTAATAAATGGCTTTTGTTACTATATTTTTAGTTGTTTCCCTTCTGAAAATAAAGGCTGTCTGCTACTTCATGCAGGCATTAGGGAGCTTAACTTCTTTACAAGATGTAGGGAGGACAGTTAGAAGTAGCTGTCAACCCACTGTTCATACTCACTAATTAGCCAAGAAAAGACATTTTTGTGGTTTACTTGACTTGCTACAATTTTCTCCTTATTATTGGTCTGGGTTCTAGTTTCAGCTCTGTTATTAGAACTATGAGCTGAGGAAGTTGTGCATTCTTTTGATGTCTGTTTTTCCATTTAAAAAACAGAAATAATGATACTTCTCCCAACCCTCTTACAAGACAGTGTACATAGCATATTTAAAATAAGAAAAACTGTAAAGAATTATAGAAAAAAATATTTTATTCCTTCAATTTATCAAACTGATATAATGCTTTTGTCTTATGATAGTCTTAGAGTTTTCACATTCCCCACAATTTCATAGCATGACTTACATTCATCATATTGTGATTTAGAGAATCATTTAATGTTTGTTTATTTTTGTTCCTGTTGTTTTGTTTTTTGAGACAGGGCCTTGCTATGTAGTTCAGGTTGGCCTTGAGCTCACTATGTAGCCCAGACTGGCTTCAGACTTACGGTAATCCTCCTGGCTCACCCTCTTGAGTGGTGGGATTTTTAATACTTAGAAACAATATATAGCTCCTCAGGGAAATAAAGATAAAAGTATACGTATTTAGAAAGAACTAGGAAGACTATATTATCTTATAATATAATCACAAGTCACTATATAATTTCTTCTATGGTGGTCTATAAATTTTTCTATTTTATTTAAAATAAACAGTGTCTTTATTTAGAATGTCAGGATTTAGGTAGTTTCTGAAAGGTGACATAAATTATTACAAAGAGGGTTAAAGTTAAAAAGTATTTCTTTTGCTCTGATGGTGGCTATGTGTATCTTATTGAAAACTGTGGTGACTTTAATGTTGTAGAAACTTTTGAATTTTTAAAATATGCATACATTTTGGATTTTGAGACCATACTTTGTCATCTCTGCCCAAGGCAATTACACAATCCTTAATGAGTGAGCACTAGTATCCCAAACAGCAAATGTGTGAAGCCCGCCAGGGATGACAGCATTAGTAAACACAGCAAAAAATAATATACTTTGACAGTGGATAGAAGGAGGGGCAAGTTGAAGAATTTAGGTAAGCAAAATTAAAAAGTAAAACCATTTGTCTCAAAGGCATAATAAATTTAATGTAGTAAATAGACACAGAGTTAAATGACTACCATTCTCCTAAACAAAAGATTGTCGTGGTGGTATTTGTGTTTCTTTCATTTCATTTTAAATGATGATACCGTGAATTCAAAAGTTCACATGTTGTCTGTTCACAGTAAAATTTTAAAACAGGTCAAAATAAGAATTAAATGGTAAGGTCAATTAGGGATTTCTCTAGATAGAAAAATATACAGAATTCAGCTATTCAAGAATTGACACTTATTTAATATATTTTTTAAAATGCTTCAGAGAAAAATGCTCAAATGAAGATTTCCTAGGTAAGGAGACATTAAATGCTTCCAGCTGATGAAGAAACTCACAGATGGAATTACAAAGACCTTTCAAGTCTCTGCAAGTAGGTAGGGAAGTGACATATGAGTTTTAACCCTGGCAAGAGAACAAAATATATTTAAAGATTTGAAAGATCACACAATAAAAAATGGAGGGCTCTAAGCTATCAATTTATTCAACCATTCATTCAATAAATATTGTTGAGTCTCTACTATACATGAGATAGTGTGTAAGTTTTAAGAATGCAAAGATGAAGAACTCATAGACCAGAAGGGGAAACAATAAACAAATTTGTATGGGAACTGTTACCGCGTATATCTAAATGTCCCACCCCCAAAGCCTCATGAACTCATAGGTGGGGCTTTTTAGAGCTGGCTGGATCTAGGGTGTGTGATACTGGGATTGAGTGTATATAGTACTAAATTAGTCCACTAATTGGAATTAGCATACTTTTGACTACCAAAAGGCTGGTAGTCTGGATAGACTAAAAGGGAAAGGTAGGCTGGCTGCTTGCTGCTTGCTGCTGCCTTCAGCCTGCCACACCATGAACTGTTTCACCTCTGCTATGCCCAGCTCCCATGCCACCCTGCCTTGGAGCCAGCCAACTATGGATTGAAACCTCTACAAACTTAACCTAAACAAACCTTACCTCCTTTAACTTTGGGTGTTGGGTATTTTGTCTCAGCAACAAGAAAAGTAACTAAGATAAGAACTAAAATGAAGTTCAGCATAAAGTTCCTCAACTTGAGGAGATTAAAGAAATTTTATCAGAATAAATGAATCTTTCCAATTCTTTATGTAAAATTGATAAAATTGCATATACAACCTGATAATTTGATATTAGATATAATGTGTAATGATTACTATAATTAACTTAATCAATATGTCCATCACTAAAACATTAGCATATATATGTGTGTTGGGAAAGATCTATTACCAAATTTCAAATAAGCAATATGGTATTAAACAGTACCATGCAGTAATTGTACTTTTTGACCAATATCTTCCCATTTCCCCCATGTCTAACTACTGCAAACCACTGTAAAACTCTCTGCTTCTATGAATTTGACTCAGATTTCATAGAGAAGTGAGATCACAATTTATTTGATTTTCTATGTCTGGTTTATTTCACTTGGTATAATTTTCTCCAGGTTCATTCAAGTTGTTGTAAATGGCAGGATTTCAGAGAAAGTGAATCTTATACAGTAATCTATTTATCCCTCTGAACAATACAGAACAAAACAATGACCAAATGAAACAGTATGTGCAACAAAAGGCCTGAAGCATGAAAAGGCATGGACCATGAAGGCCACTGCAGGTGATACTATAAATACAGAAAACTTGAGCAGGAATGCTTTTTAATCCAGCTGGAAAGGTAGGCAGATGATACCTCACAGATCGTGCTA